AGAAGTATATCAAAAAGCAGCAATCTGTTCTTCCTTCCATACATCTAAATATCTGTTCTCCAAATAAGGGAACAACCCAAATAAAAACCATTAACAGAAATCCCAGCTACACTAAAAGCACAGAAAACTTTGTGGAGAGGAAAGGTCCAACAGAAGATTTCTGTTCAAAATTAAAAGTCTGCATATGAGAAGAAAAATCTAAGAGGAATCAATGCAGGACAAAGTTTTTGTGCAGTTCCACACTCCTGGATCTTAACATACAGCAAGAGGTGAAAAAGTGCTGATTTAATCACCTTGTTTCAATGAAGCCTTTCACTTCAACACGCACACACTCCTCTACCAGCACTTTTCACTCTGCTATGGAAGAACTTTAAAGACAGCAGAGAAGCACACATAGAAGCAGACCTCTTTTCTGAACTGACCATCACAGTATTTTAATTCATCTGTGGCATCAAAATTAGAACTGAAACCCACTTCCCATAAACAATACAATCAGAAGGTAAAAGAAAAATATTTTGTGTGCACGCAGCCTAACAACTTACTCAGATATTTACTAGCAATAATCCAGAGGTACAAAGATTGTTCTCAAAGGAAGAACTCCTATAAATGTGACAGCACTGAAATTCTCGCAGAAGTCTTATCTTTGAAAAACAATAATTCAAAAACCACAATTACTTCCACAGTCTTCACCATAAAAAGACATTCCAAATAATACACGTGCATATGCTAAACAGACGATCATAATTTGTAACCACAGCCTTCAGATTTCATTTTAAAAAAATCATATAAAAAAATCAGAGATTTTGCAAGCAGTTGTAGAAAAAGGCTTTCACTTTTCATTGATGTACCAGAAGCCTTTGCTTCAAGGCCCAGACCCCCACCTCCAGCAAGACACACTTCAAAGCTTTACAGCACAGCTCTCCCTCCAGCTGCCACCTGCTCCATCACATTCAACATCTGTGTTTTACCCCAAACTCATATATTTTATTGGTAAAAGTTAGTAACTTGGAGCATAAGGACTGCGAAGCAAACTCAGTATTACAGGCAAATCAGTGCGATGGGTTGTGTGCCCTACACTCCGACTTCAGTCTTACCCATTCTCTCAATGTCCCATCAACTAAAGTGCAAATAAATCCTTCAACATTCTCCCTAAAGATACATACAGACAAAATACAGTGGATGGGAAAAAGCATGCAGTATGACTCAGGTCTCGTGTTCAATATACCAATTTTATAATTACTTCTGTGCAAAACCCATCTATAAAAAATTTAAAAGGTTCATAAGAATGTGCAATTAAATGTAATTTCTTCCAGAATAATAATAAAAGAAAGCTTTATAAAACAATTTGTACTTACATATATTTATACCAGCAAAATAAAATATTCATTTTCAGTTCTTTCCTGCATTTTGGCATTCAATAACCCAAGGCATTTAACCTTGCAGAAACACTAAGAATTTCTCCTACTGCATTTTTAGCTATTGCTGTGCTCTGATATAAATAATGTGAAAAACAAGACTGACTGTTTTTTTCTTAAAGAAAAAACACAAATGGGACTGTTTACAAATAAACCTATTAATCATCTTCCATTTTGCAGGACCTCCAGTAACTTTCAGTCACATCAAATTTTTTGTATGAAACTCTCCATTTCTAGAAGGTAACTGTTTACTATGCAAATTTTTTTTAAGTAAGTTTAATTCACTTATAGTTTCTGAATTTTTAGCAATATGCATTGCCAAGAAGCTTTTTTTTTTTTCAAAAACTGAGCTCTTCCACATAACAGACTGAGAGACATAGAGGCAATTAGATAGCTTTATTCTTCAGAGAATACATCTTCAAGTGCAAAAGGGTGACAAAAAACCTTTTCATTCTAGATTCATAACAAAAGCCATCAGCCTCTCTGAAAGTGCCTCATTTCCTTTAGCAGCCTCAGGAACTGCAAAAAAAAATACCCTCTTCAAGAACTGTCTGTCTCCAACACTGGCAAGTTTTATCACGGCTTTCAACAGAACGCCAACACAAGTTTAGGCAGATGAACAGCTTACACCCCTGAGCTTCCTCATACAAGTAACACTTCCACATTCAGCTTAAAGCACCAAAATCAGGCTTATGCACCAATTCTCCCTCAAAAGGCATCAGTCCCTCACTACTGACTTCTATAACTAGTCACTTTTCACCTTGGCCAGCTACTTTAGCTGTCTCAAGTCTCACAGACTGTTACCTCCAGCCCCTCAAAGAAAGTCAGTCACAAACAGATGGTCAGAGCAACATTTTACAACAAGATATAGATCTAATAACTAGGAAAAGGAAATAAAATGCCTTTAGGCACTGTAGTGCCAGTCTCTAGACATACACAAACAAAAAAAGAAAAACCAACCATAAAACCAAAACTGCAAAGCAAAGGGAAGCAGACTCATTCCAAAACTTTGTTCAAAGCCCACGCAGTGAATTCTGAGCTCAGAACAATAGGGCCTGGAGCCTTTGCTACACAGGAAGAAGACACCCTTAGATAGAGTTAATATTTGAGAAGGTCACAGAGACTGATACATACAAGAAGCTGCACCTCAAAGCACTTCTGCCTTTGCTGTCTCTTGCCCAGGATGTAAAACCAGATCAGCTAAACGACTCAGGAAATGTTATATGAATGTCACAGCACATACAAGCATGTCCAGTCAGATTTTGGAGGCCCACAGAAAACACTGACCTGCTGTTCTGAATGGGATACAAACCCAGTGGAGAGAATCTATCTGCTCTCCTGACACATCCCCTTCTTTTCCTGAAACAGGAGTCAATTTTGCAGGATACTGAAAAACCAAACATAGCCTCTAAAAACACTTCCTTCCAACACCTTAAAGAAAACCTAAAACACACTTGACTGGCAACAGGTCAAGTCAAATAGAGTAAGGCATCTAATGCACTTGTAGCAGCGTTCTCCATGAGAACAACCCATCCTGCTACTCGGCAGAGATGTTCTAACACAGTCCCTGGGCATATAAATTTTTACATTACTTTGAAAGTAAAGCACCATTTTTGGCTCAACAGCCCCACTAGGTATCATTTATTAGATCTGTGTAAGAAGACTTCCTGTCTTTGCAGCTTCCACCTGATCTGCTGAACGGCAACAGAAACAGGACCCAGTGTAAAAAAGGCTGTGACTCAAACAAAGCCTGAAGAACCTCACTGTTGAGAGAGTTAAGCTTTGCTCAGTATCTCCAGTATCTCAACCACCAACTTCCTTCCATGCTCAGCAAAGACAAGTCACACCTGTCCCTCTCACAGGAAGTCATCAGTTTACACTCCTGTGTTCAAGGCAATACCTTTAGATCTGATCAAAGCAGGTTTGAAGCTGTCATAGCTAATACAGTTAACTTGTGTGCAGAGTATCATATGTGATGCAGTAATTACCAGGTGCTGTGTCTCTGACATCATAGGAATATTTTGAAGATCAAGTTTTGATTTGAGGGTTTCAGTTTCTGGTTTCTAAATTAAATCCTACAGCAGACAAGGTAACAGAAAAACATATCAGGAATTTGTTCCTAACTTCAAAAGCAGAATCTGAAAATAACATATTAAAAAAAAAAATTGGTCAACTCAAATAAGCAACACCCTCACAAAAAATCTAATGTAGCATGACCTAAGTGAAGACTAAGGTAGTTCAAGAACTGGCTTCACTGGTGTGCTCAAAGGGTTGTGAGCAGCATTACATTTCCAGCAGCATTACATTTCCAGTTGGAAAACAGTCCCTACTGGATTAATCCAGACCTTGATATCTTGTGCCAGTACTGTTCAGCATCTTCATTAATTGTGTCATGGGACAGAGCACACCCTCAGCAAGTTGCAGGTGACACAAAACTGGAAGGAGGGTTTGACACACCACAGGGTTGTGCTGCCTGTGAGAAGGACCTTGAGACAGTGTAGAAATGAGCCAACCTGGGGCACTCATGAAGTCGACAGAGGGATGGGCAAAGCCCTACACCTGAGAGGAATAACCTCATGAACCAGCATAGGCTGATAACCTTCTTCATGAGGTGTTTATACACACTGAGGAGATCCCCCTGGAGCCTCTTCTCCAGCCTTCTAGTCCCAGCTGTCTCTCCTTATAGCAAAGATCATACAACAGACTCATAGAATAGTTTCTGTAGGAATAGACCACTGAAGGCCATCCAGTCCAACCCCCCTGCAATGAGCAGGGACATCTTCAATTAGATCCAGTTATTCAAAGCCCCATCCAATCTGACCTTGAATATTTCTAAGGATGGGACATCTACCACCCCTCTGGGCAACCTGTTCCAGTCTCTCACCACCATCATCATAAAAAAATCTTCCTTATATCTAGACTGAATCTAATTGTCCAGAGAGACTGTGTTGCCTCCACCCTCGGAGACAGTCTGATAGTCCTGGGCAACCTGCTCTAATTGACCCTACTTGGAGCAGTGTCAGACTAGGCCCCTTCCAGCCTCAACTACTGTACAATTCTAACAATCAGTGGACGCACAAGTCATGTGAAAACATTTTCTTAACGACATTCCTTTACAGAAAACAAAGTTGAAGAAATTAGCCAAAATTAAGGCTGCATGTTGCATGTAACATTTTAGTATTTGACAAAGTTTCTGAATTACAACTCCTTAGTTACTCAGTTTTGTAGACATAAAATGTAACACATTCATTTTTCTTCTCCACAATAAATAAAATGATAACCTGCATCTTCTCTGCAGTTATTGAACAAGGTATCACCAATATTATTCCTTGAAGTACTGGTCTTTCCTAATACTACTAATGTATATGCAACACCATGGTGACAGTTTTATCTTTCATCTCCAGCACCTAATACATTTGACAAAAAAAGTAACATCTACAGTTAGGTTTTAACTTGCAACCCTCATACCAACTAACTAGAGAAAATGGCATAAGCTAAATGAAAAACACAGTATTGAAACCCAGTATCTAAACACAAATATTTTAAAAACTTAGAATGAAAAAACACTACATTGTTTGAACATACCTTTCTGCAATAATTTGATCTCTCCGTTTTCTTTCTTGATTTCATTCATTATTTTATGCTTCTTCTTCTCTTTTTGCTTCTTTTCCCTTTCTTTAACTTTGTCTTTGATTTGAGCTGAAATGTAAATATTTCACAATTAAGTAGGAACAGTAAATTAATTGTCACATACATGTTTCACATTACTCTTATGTAAGCTCTATTAAGAGGATAAAAGGAGGAGTTACAAGAAAATCCCAGTACTTATAATATGAAAAGCTAATATTTATCTGTTGTATAATCCAACATAAGCTTCTTTAACTCAGACAAGTTTTGTTTCTGTTATGTTAGAACTGTACACAACAACCCAGCAAATTAACTGTAAACAAGTTAAAAATTTTTGCTTACTGCTATACCTTCTGCTCTCATTTTGCATCTGAAGTCAGCTCATTCCTTGAAATTCAAATTACATGCATTTCATAAGAATTGAGGGGAAAAAAATACTATAATTTGCATTTTCCTGGGTGCACATCTACACTGGAAACCTCGTAACTATCTACACATACTCTGAACTTAAAGGCTTTTGCAAGTATCTTGGAATGAGACATCATTTGTCAGCTAAAAATGTTTTACATTATGTTCACAGGCTGCACTAATGCAGTGACATGTAATTAATCAAAACACATGAAATGTACTGTATTTGCACAGTCAGTGTAATTCTCTTGTGCTTCCCCTGCTTACCTACAATCAGCAACAGCTCACCTGAGTAGTCTCATTATTCATTTACTTTCTTGTCAAGTCACTCCATGTTTTTAAATCCCTGACACACAAAAGCAGAGCCTTTAGGCATGCTCTCTGCATGTAATATACCAGACCCGTAGGAATTCATCATTTCGAAAGTAATCTTTTCAAGCCGAGTTTAGATTCACTTATGAGGCCAAGTATTTAGAGAAGTCAGATTTTACTAGGCTTATATGCACTGCAGCCAGCACTTCATGCCTCCTGTCTTGGCCTGAAGCCAGTACCTGCTCCAAGAGTATACTGAGCTTTTTAACCTCCGCAGGGAAAGAGGAAATCTGATTTCAAGCTTCTACATAATGTTATGCTTCAGAACGCTTTCTCAGTAATATAGCTGAGGCAATCCTGATGTTTTATTCATGGTACTTGCATTATAAACCCCAAGTGGAAGCAAAGAGAAATCCAATTACTCTTCCTTAAGCATCAATATAAAATAGAAGCAGCAGGTATCTTCACTACTAACATATCAGAAATATTCCTCAGTTCCAGAAGGCTGTACAGAGTGGCCCCCAACCAAACTACTCATGAAACATGTTAATAAAGGTGCAAGGAGTTGACAGTAATGCACATAAATGAATGCTTTAACAATGACTACACAGCATTCATACCTTTCCTTTTAGGAGTCTTGTAGTAAGGATACAGAAGTCAAACCCTCGCAGTTGTCAGGGTGAAGGGAAGAATGTATTTAAGGGAGAGTCTAAGAAAGTAAATAAAACCCATAAGAGATGGCAGTTGAGACATGCCTGTTGTCTACCCACAGATCAAGATAAGCAACGTGAAGAGAAGAGAAACTATGCTGGCACAAAAATAAGGAATCAGGTAGCTGTGCTTAAAGCTGTCTGAATATCTTTGTTCTAAGTGACTGAAACAGTCAAGGCCAAGAAAAACCTTCTAGCAGCTCAGTGAGAAGGGATGGATGACAAAGCAGATTTGTGTATAGCAGACCAAGGAAACTCAACAAGTTTTCCTAAGCAACACAAACCTTTCTAGGAATAGGTTAAGCAGGCATAGACCTTCCTCTCCAGCTTGTCTCTACCCAAAAAGGAATCCCTAAGTTGTAAATCCCCAGCAACTCAAGAGAATGAAGTCAGAGATAAATTGTACAACAGGAGTTTAAGTAACACTCTGAAAGCAGACACTCAGCAAGTAAGCAGTAACACCAGGCTTGACTTATAACCTGCGCTGAATGCATGACTCATCCAGGATTACAATTATCATGGGAAGACCTAGATTTTATCTCCACATTTTGGTATGGTTAAGAGGCACACTTGACTTTTGCTATCATTTACAAACGAAAGAAAGACTGAAGAGTATATACAAATGCTGAGCCTTGCTGAGAGAGGACAAAAGACTGAAAGAATCCTTTACTGCCAGCTCATGAATAGCATCACAGGCCAATGAATCTTCCAGCTTTGTCAGAAGCAAAACATAAGGACTGAGAACAAGCCAAAACCTTTTCAAGAGCCTCTAGTTTATTTTCACATCTAGAAAGCAATTAGCAGAGTCAATGGCGAAACCTTCCAGACAAGAGAAACAATGGAAGCATCCTGTGACCTCCTCTAGCAACAGCCACAATCATATCACACCTCAAGCCATTGCAAATGCAATGTAAATGAAGCTGAGGAAGGTTTGAAGTAGAGTTTACTTAACTGTTTCCCTTCTAGAAATTACAGTACTGTAACAAAACCAGTCAACAGTCTGAGGCAAGTAAAGAACAGTTGAGAATCCCAATTTAAATGTACAAATTTTCAGATTTCCTCTCTCAAAGCTCACAGAACAGATTAGCGATAGTAGTTCTTAAAAAAAAAAAACATAAATATTGAAATAAAGAAAAAATTTCATACACTAAAAAAAATCTCTGTCAAAATCAGTCATTCCATGGATTAACACTTGAGCTTAATTCTCAGGCCAAATGTCTTCAGTTTACAAGTATTAATATGTATTTTCTAATCTGCCTTGCAGAACTCAAACACGACTCTCAAAATTCTGCAGATTATTCTCCTCGGGGATAGATATTCCATTTCAGAGCATCCTTGGAATGCAGGGATAAAAAATCAACCAAATTATTTCATTATTTCATTATTAACACAAGATCTACTGCAGCTCTACAAGCTCTCTATGCCCACTCTACAAATCAATAAATTTAGAAGCATCCAACAGTCATTATAGTCAATAAACATGATGGTAACATGCCTACAGCACAGACACCTTACAAGGAAGGGCAAGTGCAATTCTCCAAGCACAGTCTCCAAAACTGCAGCCATCACACAATGCTGCCCAATAAAGCCAATGCAGCTCAATACAGGCCTAGAACTCTGAGACTTTCCAAAATGCCACAGACCAGTATCTCACTGAGTATCTTCACTAAGGCAAGGTAACAATTCCCTTCAGCCACACATAATTTCAGGCCAAATATCGCTTTTTCAACCAAGAAACATGAAAATTCTTCACAAAAATCCTGCTTTAAAATGAGTATTCCAACATTAAGCAATGTACAACCTACATGTCAGGGAATAAACAACTAACAAGTGAGGTTGGTAAGAGAAAACAAGAAAAACTTGTTCCATTGAAGTTATGAAAACCTGGAATGCTCTTGTACAGCTTTTTTGACGTTTACCAGTAGGAGCTACAACTGGTCTCCATTTCATTTGCAGGGCAACAGGATCACAAAGTAGTAAAAAGTGACAGATGTTTATGCTAAGCTTTCCATGTACACACAATATTCTGCAGTCAGCCTTCACCAATACTACTCCTAACAAATAAAAAATAAAAAAAGCTTCTTGAGCTGGTGAGGGAACAGGACGAAATGAGTCCTCAGGGAAATCATGTATCCCAAATACACAGACTTCCTATGCCTTTACATACCTCTAAAGACACTAAAACTAAAAGCCAACAGCTTGAAATAATCTGTACCCCAGGGAAAAAAGGAAAGAAATCTTCAGGAATTTTTGCCCCTATCAAAACAAACTTTTACTTTGCATAATTTTGACAGAGAGTTACACTGCTCAGGAAATAACTGGTAACAGACTAAACAGAGTTTGTAAATAGCCCTTACCAGGGTTAAAAAAAAAAAAAAAAGAGAGAAATTCCAAGTACAGTAGGAATCAGCTATGCAAGTCCAGTAAGAGCTGGGCTCAATCCTTAGTTTTCAAGTTCTACTGCCTGGCTGGAGGGAGAAGTCTTTATTACTACAGAAGTATTTATAATTCTTCTGGCAAATTGACCCTGGCTGGACACCAGGTGCCCACCAAAGCCACGCTATGACCTCCCTCCTCAGCTGGACGTAGGAGAGAAAATATAACAAAAGGCTCATGGGTCAAGTTAAGGGCAGAGAGATCATACATAATACCAGTTACCATCATGGGCAAAACAGACTCAACTTGGGAGAAAAAAATTAATTTATTAGCAATCAAAAGTAGAGTGGGGTAATGAGAAATAAAAATTAAATGTAAAAACCACCTTCCCCCCCACCCCTCTCTTCTTTCCAGGCTTAACTTCATTCCCAGTTTTCTCTAATTCTTCTCCCACAATGACACAAGGGGACAGGGGATGGGGGTTGTGGTCAGTTCTTCACACATTGCCTCTGTTGCTCATTTCTTCTCCTCTCACTCTACCTCTGCTCCACTGTGGGGTCCCTCCAACAAGAGACAGTACTACACAAACTTCTCCAATGTGAGTCCCTCCCAAGGGCTACAGTTCTTCACAAACTGCCTCACTGATTAAGAGATTTCCAGATGCCTCATTCAAGTTCACAATATGAGTGTCACCACAAAGTCCATGTTCTTTGTTTTTGATGTCACAGAAACAGTACACCCACCCATGAAAGAAATGCAGCAACAGTAGTATATTAAAATAAAAAGAGTGCTACATACAGATAGGAAGAGTTCTATTATGAAGAAGTGTTCTGCCTCATCTCCTAAAATGGCATCCGAAAAATGCTTTCGCTTTGCAATGACTCCACACAATTAACTGAATTAATTAAGAATTATATACATACTTCCTTCTCAAATCCAAAAGCTTTTATTTTTTCTGGATGTTGGGCTAAGTAAAAGAAATTGATGTATTCTGTATTTATACGTTAAACAGCCATTTACAGCTAAAGGCTATAGTCAAAGTCCTCTGTTTCCTAACTCCAGAGATGCCTTTTCATAATGACTGCAGTGATTTCCTGCAGTAGTAAATAAAGGAATCCAAATTCACAGAACACACCAATCTGACTTCAGATATTTAATCAGATCTTTGCCTCTATGGTAAGCTTTCTACAGACAAAAAGGTAAACCCAGTACATGCTCTGTAGTGGATGGATTACATGCAACGTGGTCACTGTCAGATTGGAAAAT